ATGTGATTGATGTTTAAATAGCATGCTGAGTGATTACATGCTATCCATATCCTGTTATGATTGATGTTGTTGATGTGCATGATATGTTGATTGATGTTCATAGTATGCTGAGTGTTACATACTTACATATCATGTTGCATTTGTTAATTCCCATTGTGTGGAATTAACATGGTGGCCAATATACGTGTCCGCGAGTTAATGGAACGTTGAGGTGGTAGCCGTGTCCGCGATATAATGGAACGGTGAGTTATCCGTGACCCGAGATTTAATGGGGCGGTAAAGTGGTACCACATGCATGAGTGTGTTGCATTACCTTGAATATAACATGAATGGATGATTTTTCCAATGTTGTATTTGATTGTTTGTATGCACGTATGGTTGCTAAATGGTTGACGATGTTTGATGTTAATTGCAAATATGAAAAGCAATATATTATGGGTATATGAATTGTAAAGGTTTTTGTAAACTATGAAATATGCTAATTGTTGGGTGATGCTTATGGTTTCCTGAATTGATTGTTATGAACGTATAATCAAATGTATAATTGAGATGCTCACCCTTACTGTTGAATATTTTAGATTGAGGAGCTTCGTTCAGGTGCTTGGCGAAGGCTTGTCGTTCTAGTTTATTTTCGTTTTAGTATTGTCCGGGTCATGCTCTGATAGTTGTAACTCCGGGAACGTCTGTTTTGTCGAGCTGTTTTAGTCAGACTCGTTTAATTCCTTATGTTTTATTAGAATATGATGTTGACATTTTCCAGGTGTTAATCCCTGATGATCTTGGAAAATATTATAACATTGATTTTATTAATTAAATTATTCCGCTGTGTAAACATGTATGAGTTACTACTACGTTATGCATGACAGGAATTTGTTTTATTGAAAGAGAATTGTAGCATCCTCGATTATACATGTACTCTGAAATTATGGTTTTAATATTTGCGAAAATTTATTCGGGGTTTTTAGAGGGTGTTACACTAATTACTTACAAATATTCTATTTACATAATATGGAATATTCTGATATCTAACATATCCCATTGATTGAGGAACATTGTTCCTCTTCCTTTTTCAGTTGAGCTCCCAGATACTCGACCATCCCTTCAATCGCTTCACCACGAGTAATCTAGGAGTGGTTAAGTCACCTCCCTCTTATGGGAAGGTGTAGCAGGCATGCGACATCATCAAGTGTGATCGTCATCTCCCCAACAGGAAAGTGGAAAGATGAGGTCTCTTTGTGCCATCTCTCGGTAAATGTCCCTTGCATGTCGTGGCTAATAGTAACGTAACCGGAACAACAAAGTCTGGTAAGTCTGGAGTCAAGAATGGCCTCCCTGAACCAATCTACATTAGGATGATGTAGATCAAATATTTTATGTGCGTGGTTCACGGACTTTATGGACAATCCTTCCTGTAAAAATAAATATTATTCTCAATGTTAGTCGTTAACTCATTTGTGCGTAAATTTTTTAAATGAAAAAGTGTAATAAATAATATACCTCTTCATCTCAAACATGTCTAGCGACATGATCATTGTAATAGATCAAGAGGGAGGTGTCAGAGGGCCCTCCTGGATACCCCTGGTTTCCCTACCCCATTGATGCATGTAGAGTGCAACCGGTGTATCATGGGCAACCTCCTCGAGTTGTTGTGCCCGAACATCAACCTCCTTGAGTTTCTACTTATTATCCCGAGACGAGGACGCATGAGACAAGTGACTCTTCGGAATACAAGTCAATGCTCCCACCACTTCCTCCTGTCTTCGACCCCTAATAGTCTTCTCAGCTCTCTCATGCCGAGCAGAGGCAGTCTGGCTTAGCCTTCCAAGTCTCAATCTCTGGTTTAGGTTCTCTATCATTTTCCTAAAGAAAAAAATCATTACTCAAAGGGAAAGAACAAGTGTGAAATTTTTTTTAAACAAATAACAATCCAGACCTTATTTCGGATGTGCATATTCGAAAGTACACATAGGAGTTTTCAAATATACACATCCAAAACACTCCATTTTCTATCATTTTCGAACTGTTGGGGTTTCTTGCTCTAAATCACCCAAAAAAATTCCTTTCACATCCAAACAGCCACATTTCACATGTTATACTTCAACCAACTAAATTTACATGATTCTAAATAATATATTTTACATATTTGTAAAGTAGAACAATGAATTCGGAGAAACTTACTCAAATTCGAAGCTTTGAAGTGTTGTTGAAATGGATTGAAAATGTGTTTTGCTTTTTAAAAATGCACTTTATTCTTGAAATGAGTTAAAAGTGTTGCTTGAAGATTGCAAAAAGAGAGAGAGTTGAAAGTGTTGCTCATGTAGACAATTTTGCTTGTTTTTTGGGCACAGGTAATGTTGTCTTTGTTGAGTTTATAGGTGCCATTCTTGCAATCGAGCACGTCTCTTTGATGGACTGATCACACTTGTGGTTATAATCAGATTCTAAATTTTTGGTTGATTCCTTATCCAAACCATCTCTGGTTGTTTGGGTGATAAGAAATAGATGGAATAAGTATTACTAGAATTTAGATCTAAGAACTTTTTTTATCTCACATATTTAAAGAGTGTAACAAATGTGCTTAGCTAACATAGGTTTAACTATAAACAATTTTTGTTGGTGGGTTAAAATTTAATTTTAAAAATTGTGTACCTTACATTTGTTACCAGAATACTTGACAAAAAAAGTTATGGTAGTAAAATTTTCAATTTTTATTTTATCCGAAAATTGGTGAAGAAAGTTCGGTAAATAAATTTTTAATGAACCGAAAGACCTGGTCAAAGAGTTTTGATAAATAAAATTTTAATTTTTAATGAACTGGAACATTTGACAAAAATATTTCAGTACTTAAATTTTAATTTATCACCGGACAACTTAATTAAAGTGATTTTTTTACAAAATTTTAGACTTTAGGCAGCGACTTAAAACCGTGGCTAAAAATGTTGTTAAAAAAGGCATTGTATTGGTAATTCCTTAAGGCCACGCTTTTATGGTGCTTCCTAAACTCGTTTTGTTATATGCTACCGGTCGACTTAATTAAAGTTCTTCTGTTCAAATTTGTTATTTAGACAGCGGTTGACCTTTTAGACCACGACTTTCATGTGTTGCAATAAAATTATTTTGTTTTAGACTGTCAAAATAACTTACCAAAAATTATGTTAAATATAATTTTTTTTATTTTTTCCAATCATAAATTATTTATTTAAAGATATTTTAATCAAATTAAATGAATTGTATGAGTAGAGAATAATTGTTAGGGTATGAAATAAAATTTTCTTCTCTACCCCATAGGAGCTGGGTTTGGATAAATACATCCCAACTTTAATTTTGAAAAAATAATTAATTCAGTTATATTTCCTTTATTAGTGAGTATAGGTATAAAAAATACTTTTTAAATTCATCTATTTTAATTTTATATATAAACAATTAGTTCTACCACTAAATCAATGAATTTTCTTTATTTTAATTTATAAAGAACACTTATTCAACACATTTTCTTATTATTATTAAATTATTAGCAAAATTTTATACATGTTAGTCTGATATATTCAATTATATATTATAATAATATCACATTAAAATCAGACAGTAAAAATTTTATATTATCATCATATACGTTATAGATATATTATAAATTTCAAAATATTACAGTACCATCAATATTCAAAACACCCATCAATGACCTACAACTAACTTTAAAATCTTTTTTGCAAGCTTCCAAACAAACATACAATCTCTAAAACAATAAAGTAAATGATAAGGTTTTGTACAATATTTTGGATTTCAAAATATTACAGAAGCATCAATTTTCAAAACACCCATCAAAGACCTACAATTAACTTTAAAATCTTTCTTGCAAGCTTCCAAACAAACATATAATCTCTAAAACAATAAAGTAAATGATAATGTTTTGTACAATATTTTAAAAGTTGATGGTACTGTAATATTTTGAACTTGATAGTACATCTATAACATATGTGATGATAATGTAGAATTTTCGCTATTTAGATTCAATGTGATATTAATATAATATATGATTGAACATATGAGACTAACATAACCTAATTGAATTTTGCAAGTAATTAAAAAGTGCATTTTTTTATTAGAGAACAAAATATATAAAATATTGCTAATAATTAAAAATAATTAAAAAAATATATCGATATAAGTGTTATTTGTAAATTAAAAAAAAACAAAAATTGATTTAGTGGTAAAGTTAATTATCCATTAACGAAGGAGGCATTGGTTCAACTATTAACCAAGAGGGGTTTGGTTTAACTCTTGTTTGATGTAAAATTTTGTTATATCTAAAAATAGTACATATAAGCGGTCCATATTTGGATATTCAACAAAAAATAGTTTTTTAAGAATAGAATTTATTTTTTTTTCTTTTTTAATAATGTATAACTTAAAAAATTGTCCTAAATCATAATTTCCCTAACAATATTAATAAAACATTAATATTTTGTTTTCTATTTTACTTTTGACTATTATTTACTCAACTTTTTTTCAATTCTTTTACTTTGTCTTTTAAATATCATCAATTTATAAAATAATTTTATAGGAGTAGATGGGGTAACTCAACTGGTCTAAAGTTCAAATTCATGACTGCAACATTTATTTGTATTTATTTGTATTTATATATAAAATTAATTATAATTTATCTTTTTTATACAAAATTAAATATATTTCTTACTAATATAATATCAAAATAATTTGTAATAAAAACAGAGGTAGCACATTGTTTGTAAATAGACTTTGTTTTACATATATTTTACCTTAAAAGATCCAAATTTATTTGATTTATTTATTTAACATAAATGTGGAGAATGAATATTACCATAATAATTGACTTCATTACAAACTCAGAGTGGTTTTTCAAATGAGATTGAGTAGAAAACAAACACAGAACTACATTATAAAAGTTAGGAAATCACACATTTACATATCACATTATCACTGATATTTATTTTGCAAAACAAACACCATTCATTAGAGAAACAATGACATCATCTATTTGTCACACGTTAATGCCACTTCTTCTTTTTGTTTTTCTACATGAACATACCCTTGCAATAAAACAGGCAAGATTTGTCTCAATTTTTCATTATTCCTTAAAATGTCTTTGTTTCTGCTACCATAGACAGATTTTATTAAATCTCTTTCTCATTATAACATGTTTACTTTTAACAACTTGGTCTAATACTCGATTATCATGTCTTTTTGTTACAGCCCTATATTGTATACTTAGGATCACATTCTTTCGGTTCAAATCCTTCTTCATTTGATTCTGAATTTGCCACAAATTCTCACTATGATTTACTTGGATCTTACGTTGGAAGGTATGCATTTATTCAACCTTAAAATTAAGTGAATAAATAAATTAGTATGCTTAATTATGAAACGATGATAGTTAATTTTTTTTCATACACAGCATTAAGAAGGCGAAAGAAGCAATATTTTACTCTTACACAAGATATATTAATGGCTTTGCTGCAATACTTGATGAAGATGAAGCAGCTAAAGTTGCAAGTATGTAGTTATACGTTAATTCATGGATTTATCTTCCACAAATCTTGCAAGTATGGAGTTATATATATATATATATATTTTTTTTTTGGTATGAATACAGAGAATCCAAATGTTGTATCAATATTTTTAAATAAAAGATATGAACTACACACGACCCGATCATGGAATTTCCTTGGGTTAGAGACGGACGGTGGATTTACTAATGATTCAGTGTGGAAAAAATCATTGGGTGAAGACATTATTATTGGAAATTTGGACTATGGTAATAAAATATGAATTAATTGCATTTTTTAATAATAATAATTATATTACTTATTATATTTTTTAATGTGCTATGCTATGCCTCAGAATAATTTTTATTAATATTGTGACTTATGATAGGTGTTTGGCCAGAATCCAAGAGTTTTAGTGATGAAGGGTATGGGCCAATTCCAAAAAAGTGGAAAGGAATTTGTGATGTTACCAAAGGAAATCCAGATAAATTTTATTGCAACAGGTCTTTTACTAGATAATTTATCATTTTATTGCATTTCATATAACTCAACTGCTGATACATGATTTGATATATTTGTAGGAAACTTATTGGAGCAAAATATTTTCACAAAGGCTATCAGGCACGTCTCGGTGCAGCGGCAAATGTAACCTTTAATAGTGCGCGCGACACTGAAGGTCATGGCACACATACTTTATCAACTGCAGGAGGTAATTTTGTTGCTGGAGCAAATGTATTTGGCTTTGGAAATGGAACAGCGAGTGGTGGATCGCCAAAAGCGCGAGTTGCAGCCTATAAGGTCTGTTGGAATGGATGTTTTGATGCTGATATTTTGGCTGGTTTTGAAGCTGCCATAAGTGATGGTGTTGATGTGCTTTCGGTGTCCTTGGGAGGAAATTATCCAAAAGAGTTTTTTGAAAGTGGTATTTCCATAGGTTCCTTCCATGCAATTACCAACAACATCATTGTTGTTGCTTCTGGAGGAAATGAAGGACCTAATTTCGGGTCTGTAACCAACGTCGAACCATGGATTCTCACAGTTGCTGGAAGCACCACTGATAGAGAATTCACAAATTCTGTTATTCTTGGTGACAAGAAAATATACAAAGGAGCTAGCCTTTCGCCGTCTGAATTACCACCTAACAAATTATATCCATTGATAAGTGGTGAAGATGCAAAACTTGGTGTGAATAATGACATAGCAGCGTAAGAACGCGTTAACCTTCTCTAATAAACTTTTGTATAGTGCATGTGTGACTGATCTTTTATAATATATTTCATTTTTGTAGTCAACTTTGTGAAAATAGAAGTCTGGATCCGAAAAAGACGAATGGAAAAATATTGGTATGTCGCCGAAGTGAAAAAGATAGAGTTAACATGAATGGAGTAGCTTCTAGTGTAGGTGCTATCGGAGTCATTTTGGTTAACAATGCTGGTTTCTCAACCAATGATCTTTTAGTTGATGCTCAAGTGATTCCATCTTCAAATGTTAACTTAGAAGACGGCTCTAACATTCTTAATTACATCAATCAGACAAAGTAAGTATTTTCATTATGGTTTTTATTTTAAACTTTGTATTACTGAATACTTACTTACACACATAGAATTCTACATTTCATATTGTGTAGGTTTCCTATGGCTTACATAACTAAAGCTAAAACACAGTTAGGTATAAAGTCAGCTCCATATGTAGCTACTTTTTCATCAAGAGGCCCAAACAACCTTGACCCTTCAATCCTTAAGGTTTTTGGTTATTCTTCCTTGAGATAATTATCAATCACTCTTTCTTAAGATTTTCTTAAAATGACTGAAATTGTAAAATTTATTTTATATTTCAGCCTGATATAATTGCACCAGCCGTCAATATAATTGCAGCTTATACCGGCGGTGTATTTCTAACTATGTCAGGCACTTCAATGTCATGCCCTCATGTTGCCGGACTAGTTGGACTCGTTAAATCTGTCCATCCTGATTGGAGTCCGGCGGCTATCAAGTCAGCAATCATGACCACAGGTAATCAAATTATATGAAATCCTTGAGTCCATTTTCATATGCTTTTTACTTATATATTCTTACATATTTTTCAGCAACAACTAAAAACAACATTGGAGGGCCTATACTGGATTCATCGCTCGACAACGCAACTTCTTTTGCTTATGGTTCAGGGCTCATTCAACCTAATCATGCAGTGGATCCTGGACTTATATATGACCTGAATATTACTGATTATTTGAACTATTTATGTGGCCATGGATACAATAGTTCCCAACTTAAAGTGCTCTATGGAAAACCTTACACTTGTCCAAAATCTCTCAGTTTAACAGATTTCAATTATCCATCCATCACAGTTTCTGACTTTAAAGTCGGACAGTCTTTGACTGTTACTCGTACGGTAACCAATGTTGGGTTCCCAAGCAAGTATACAGTGACGATCGAGGCACCCCCGGAATTTCTAGTCGCAGTCGAGCCTAATATATTAAACTTTAAGGATAAGGGTGAAAAAAAAGAGTTCAAGGTTACATTCACCTTAAAGCCACAAAGTAAGTATACCACTGATTATGTATTTGGGAAGTTGATTTGGACCGACGGAAAACATAGTGTTGGGACTCCTATTACAATAAAGTATCCACATTAGTGAGGTTTAGGTTAATGTTGCATTTTTCTACCAAAAAATGAACATGTTGTGTATTGTACAAGTACTTCAATGGTTATGAAAATAATATATCAGTGTTGTTTTATGACGAGTGGAATGAATCGAATAAGGTAATCTAGAGGAAATGAATTCATGTATATATATAAAAATGCAAGAATTATTTACTGATTGACTAACAACAGTATAATACAAAGCCTTGTATTTATACAAGGGCCAACACAAAAACAAAGGAACTACAAGATCTAATGTACTAATTTTTATCAACAATCATAATCAACTTGTAGTTAGTTGTTATATATTGACTAATTTAATTAACTAGTAACTAATTTCTAATTGTTGAATTACAAAGAAAATAAAGATCAAGACTTAAAAGACTAGTACATCATACGAAAAAGGAGCATGATGATCTCAAATAGCTTGCATCACAAGCAATCTCAGCCAAAGCCTAAGAAATCAGTTGTAAAAGCCTGTAACAACTATTAAAAATCAGTTACAGCACTTTGTTATGATTGTATGTGATTAGGCTTAGAAAGCTTATGATGTACTCCACTTAGAACTAGTATAAAACTAGATTCTAGTTTGTAACTTCTTCCTTAAGAAATGCTGAGCTAATTTCTTCACATTTTCTTTTATTTTTAATTTTTCAATATTGGTATCATAAGTCTCTCGATTTGAGATTACTTCATTTCCGCATTCATGGTTCCACGAAATTCCATCACTGCGGGAACTTTTAATTCTGCAGATCCTCAACATGATCAATCAAGTTCGTTTTTTGTACATCATAATGATGAACCTTCACCAATCCTTGTTTCTTCAAAGCTTAGTGGTTTAAACAATCATTCTTTGGCTCTTTCAATGAGTCGTGCACTTTGAGGCAAAATGAAACTTGAATTCATTGATGAAACCATCGTTCTTATCATTGATAAGTTTGATCCTTTGTATCATTCATGGAGTTGATGTAACATGCTTCACTATGTCAAACAAGCGCATAGACAGCGTTTTTTTTTTTGCCATAGACAACGCTGCCTAAACCAGCGCTGCTATAAGAAAAGGCAGCGCTTTTGATTAATGTAAAAGTGCTGCTATATGTCCCATTTAGCAGCGCTTTTACTTTAAGAGCGCTTTCTTATCAACACCTTTAGCAGCGCTTTTACTTTAGAGAGCGCTTTGGTAAGTACACCTTTAGCAACACTTTCTCATTTTAGACAGCACTTTAGACAGCGCTTTTTGCATCTCTTTAGACAGCGCTTTTCTTTAAAAGCGCTGTCTGTTCCCCATCTTAGGCAGCGCTTTCCCATTTTAGGTAGCGCTTTCTCCCTACTTTAGACAGTGCTTTTCTTTAAAAGCGTTGTTTGTTCCCCATCTTAGACAGCACTTTCTCTCTACTTTAGACAGTGTTTTTCTCCTTAAGCGTTGTCTAATGTTAACAATTTTTTTTAAATATTAGATATATTTTCTCCTTAAGCGCTGTCAAATATTTTCTCCATTTTTTGCAACAGGTTTTCACCACATTTTTCACCAGGTTTTCACCATATTTTGCACCAGATTTGGTAGCTTCAATCCAATATATATGCATCAAATTTGCATATACAAAATATATATATATATATATATATATATATATATATATATATATATATATATATATATATATATATATATATATATATATATATATATATATATATATATATATATATATATATATATATATATATATATATATATATATATATATATATATATATATATATATATATATATATATATATATATATATATATATATATATATATATATATATATATATATATATATATATATATATATATATATATATATATATATATATATATATACAACAACTTGAAAATTGATGATACAACTTAAAAATTCTAATAATTCTAAATTGATGTTTAATCTACATATTACTATCTTCGAGAATTTCTAAAAAACAACAACAAAGAACTTGTTACCTCTATCTTCTACATCTGCACCTATAACCTGAAACAAAACCAAAAGATCGAAATTCATACCACGATAAAACAAAACTTTATTCTAATTTATACTTAAAACTCAAAAGTTGTACTCAAAATTCTCACCAATGAAAGAAAGACAATACACCTTATAAAATTCTCAACTCCATAATAAACTAACACCATTCCTCCATAAGTTCATCCAATTGATCTTTTGAGTAATGAGCACAATTGAATTCGTCAAAGTACTACATAGTAAAATGACATAGTATGTGATTTAGTTAAAACACTACGCCATTTTATGAGAAATATTAAAATAATTCATAAGTTAGAAATTCATACCGTGGATGGAATCTCTATTCGGTCCAAAAGAAGTTTTTCTTTCATAAACCTCAACATGAAATAACCGCAATCTATATCATTATGTTGACGAGGATACTACACATAAAAAGAAAATATAGATATATATCAGGATATACCCCTTAACTTGTTTTATCAAATATCATCACTAATATAATCAAAATTGTGAAAGTATATCTGCACTCTGATCCACGTAATGTTGTTGGCTCTACTCTTTGGTACTTGAATACCTATTTGTGATCGAAAAGCTTGTAGAACGCTATAATAAAATATAAAAGACTATTTAGAACAATCTCACATATATAAATAAATATACACACGAATATTTAGAACAATCTCACTTACGTATCAATCGTCTTCTTCAAATCGGGGTATGTTGTCCAATCATTGTATAACGAATCCAGATAGTATACAATCTCTATAATAGGATTAATCGCAAGCAACAACCAATATCCTCTGTAAAATTAAACAAATGTTTGATGGAAAGTGTTGTACCGCAAAATTTGTCCTCTCATGTTTTTCCAAGATTTCTTCTTGCATAGGTGGTTACAAACCTTTGCCTAAAGAAAAGGAAATTGTTCAAATGATGGTTAAGTATCCTCCAAATGGCATCTGCAAAAGGTCATTCGATTGGCATCTACAAAAGGTCATTCGATTAGCATCTGCAAAAGGTCTTTTGATTGGTTTTCTGAAGGAGCCTTTCGATTGGCATGGACAATTCCCTTCGATTGGCATGTCACAAGGCCTTTCGATTGGCATTTCAAAAATGTTTCGATTGGCATTGTGGCCAAGCCCTTCAATTGGCATTGTGTCAAGGCCTTCGATTGGAATTCTGAAAGACCCTTTTGTTTGACACCCTGGGCCAAGCCTTTCGATTGGCATGGCAAGGGATTCTTCGATTTAGAATTTTGTCAAGACAGCTTCGACGGGAATCTTAAATAAGATTGTTTTTCGTTAGAGCGTACAAAGTGCCTTTTGACAGGCATGTTAACAAAGTGATGTTTCGATTGGCATATTAACAGGGTGATATTCTGATTTTCCAAGTTAGAGAAAATGAGATCAAAAAGAGCAAGAACTGAGAGGGTTCCAACAACTCTGATGATGGGCATTTTAATCCATACAAACCATGGCTCAAGCGAATAATCTCTGCTGAGGGGAGCCTTGAGAAATTCGAATCTGGACTCAGCGCCATCAAGAAAAATAATGTTTAGGAGTTAATCGAAGAAACTCTGATACTGAGAATATGAGCCATTTGAATCAAGTTCAAAGCCTTCAATTGATAAAGAGCTGAAGCAACCTTCGACCAGTTAAAAGGGAGGGTTGATGTTTCAATTGGTTTGAAAGCCATTCGAAGGAAGTAATAATAGGTCAATCGAAGAGCAACGCTGGAGGACGTTCGAATGAGTCAAATGTCCAGGTTCATCCAAGATTTCAAAAGGGGCATGAATATTTCAGAAAGGAAATCTTTTAATATGTCTGATTCTTGTCTCATAACTTTAAAAGCCTGGTTAAATGGTTGTCTTTTGCCATTACTCTGCACCATCACACTCCTATAAATACAAGGCCAAGGACACAGTGCCAAGGGGGACGAAAAAGAGGAGAGATCACACGTATTGCATCACATATATACAGATTTCCCATCGAAGCTCCCCAAAATCTCAAAATCTTCACCAGGTTCCAGGAGATGTTTCCAAGCACTAGGCAGAGCCAACACACGCCCTCTCTGTTTGGTAATCTGTTCGATCTCAAATTATCTAAATGTGTAGTTTCTTTAAAATCTATATTAATCATTACATGCATGTTATTGCTGATGTTTGTTATTGTTTCAATGTATTAAATACAAGCTTAAGTGCAAGGAGGAGATCGTGCCATTGCTAGGGCACGATCTGTATCCTCTTTCAAATCTCAGGATTCTTGGTATTGTAGGACGAAATAACTTCAAATCCGAATTAGAGAGGGAATTGAAGGACCTGGGTTCGACACCAAGGTCTACATTTGTTTTTTTGCTAACACTTGCTGCAGATATAGCCTGAAAAGACCCAGCGCGCGCAGGATCGAAGGACCTGGGTTTCGATACCCATGTCCTGCGTTTTATTTTTCTAACATATTTTTGCAGATGCGGTGCCTCCACAGGTGATCCTTCAGGCCTTTCCAGCAACACCCTTCATAGAATCAAAAGGCATCCTTATTCCTCTGAATCAAAGCTCTCCCCCCCCCCCTTTCTCCCTGCAATCGAAGTTTACCCATATCCTTCCCAAACCCAATTGAAGGAGGCAGGAAAGGGTGAAAATTGAAGCTTGCCCCGTCAATTCTCAAGCCTAATTAAAGGCTACTCACACCCATTCCCTGGCTCAATCGAAAGAAGGCCAAAGAAGGGTGAATTGAAGGAGTCCATGGAATGGATCGAAGAAGTCTTTTTCTCTTCTTTATTTTTACTTTTTACTTATCTTTCGATTTGGTTGTAATAGCGTAGGACTTCTATTTTTTGCATTTTTTTACTTCTTTTCATATTAATTGCTAGTAACTACGCGTGTATGAAAAGACTAATAATCAAATGTTAGCAAACTTAATAAAAAGACAAAAAGAAATTGAACATAACACACTTGCACATATAAACCTCTAAGGTACGCCCACTTTGGTTGCCTT